TAAATAAAAAGTGGAAGCAATTTTTTTGATTATGTAAGGTTAAAAGTTGCAGTACGACTCTCTGATACATTTCCAACCATGCATGGTTGGCGTCCTTGTCTATCTATCATCTAGGAAGGAGGCGAAGACCATTCCTGCAGCGCACCACACCAGCAACATTGCGAACAGTGCCATAAGCACTTCAATTCCTTCCACTTTAAGCTTCACCTTCACCCAATCCATTAATTCTCCATGCTATGTGGCTCATCACCCACCTTTACAAACATCCATCCATGTCTCACCACAACTCCTAAAGTTGTCTCATATTTCTCATACCAACTTGTCCTCCATACTAGATGCATTTATTGAGGCCCATCCAGAATTAAACACCACATCTGTCTTTCATTTTAAGTCAGCTTAGCTAGATCACCTCACTGTTTCCAAAATAAATTCAAATTCTTAGTTACACATATATAATTTAAAATATATAGAAAGTCAGAGCGTGTCATCTCCAAACTTTTGTTAAGATTTATGACATTTCCAAGTTTTAGTTTAAAGTCTTTTCCTCCCCTAAACTATTATCAGAAGAAGAAAACTTTTTCATGCCATTCACTTTGCAGATGGCCGCCGCGCGGAAACTTGTGAGCTTTGTGAACCTTTTTTCCATCCACGCAACGGTACGTACTAACTACTAAGTTCACATTATTTCATGTTTCTCGCATAAAGTCAAAATAAATGCGAGTTTGCGTCCTTAGTGCATGGTTAGGCATAACAATTGTTATATATTTTTTAGGAGAATAAATTGTAGGAAAAAAGTTATTTAATAATAGACAAGGATAGCCCTTAGCAGTAAGAGAGGGAAAAAGTAGTTATGTTCCACCTCAAAGAAGAAAAGTAAGCATTTTTGTTATATAAGTTGAGAGAAATTGATTTCCTTTATGGAGAAGGCCCTGTAGAAGAGATGGTGAGGGCCTAAAGAGGTAAAATGTTTTGGGATGACATATAATATTTATTGAGTTAATCACTTGTATATTGTCGGTGTAAAATTTTTTATATTAGTAATTAATTAGAATTATTAGTAGTATTTTTTTATTTTAATATAATTAAATAAATAAATAAAAATATATTATTAACAATTCTGATTGTTGTATAAGTGATTAACTGATATTTATTTTGGTGTGTGAGTAGGAAAAAAGAAGACGTGTTGAAATGAAATATTAATAAATAAAAAAGTAGTAGCGTGCATTTAAGTATTTGGCGGTATATGTTGTCCTAACATAGAAGCGGTGGATAAGCATGTGCCACACCACACACACATTATTCCAAACATATTTGCCGTGTTGTTTACTACTTGCTTGTTTCTTCCTCTGCCTCCTTTTCCTTTTCCTCTTTTTTCGTCTCTCTGCATTCAATGGCCCATTTGTTTCTTTTTGGCTACTCAACTCTGTCTCTCTCTCTCCCTCTTTTGTTTTTGTCTTCTTTTTTAATATAAAATAAATAAATAAGTAATAAAAAAGGGGTTCTGCATCGATAACGTGCGGGCCACCTTGGGGTTTGGCCTTTTGTGCGTTAGGTCAACAACTAGGAAAAGCTTTCGACCTCTTGTGCCGATTCGAAAACAATTCATTTATCTCTCTCTTTCATTTCATCACCCTGCAGAGTCCAGACACAGATTGTAATTGTGATTACTATGCTAATCACAAGGTCAAGCGACCAATCCGCGTCACCATTTGGATTATCTCCATTCTTAATCCATATTCCATGCTTCTTCTATTCTATATATGCCTTGCATCCATCTTATCCCTCCCACTTCCACCTGTGACCTGTCCATGCATCATGCATCATGCATCATGCATCAATCTATTTTCATCCAATCATCCTTTACTTCATGTCTTTTTCTTTTTTAATTATCCAAGTTAAATACTACTTTTGCTTACACTTTTACATTTAAGCTATTTATTAAACCTCCATTCTTAATTAAATAACGCCAATATTCAGCTATTTCTGATAACAATTTTTATCTAATTTTCTTTCTTTCTTCATATTATTTCTCCTCCTATTCATATATTCTGCACTTTTGTTTTTCTATTAATTGTCAATGAACCCTTCTACTGTTGTAGTATATTGTCTTTGAAAATTCTATACCTACTCCTGCAACCAAAATTATGAGGGTCCCCTTGAAACAGCCACTTTGTTGTCATGTGTATTTCCCTGTAATTTACGATTAGATGATGTCAAGAATAGGACACACGCACACGCCCATCTAGATATTATACTTATACATAAGAATCCTACACCCTTGGTTTTAGTTTAACTTGTTCAGTCATAACTGCTATATTCAACTTTTATTCGGTAATATATGCATATATATTATTTTACGTCTACTTCGTGAATAAGTTTTGTCATATTTACATTGTTTAATAATTATATATATGAATGCTGAATTTTTTTATTAATTTATCAACAGTTGAGTTTAATATTATCGTTAAATACAATAAGTTTAATCATAAAAAAATACAATAAGTTTATAAAAAAAAGTTATATAACTTAAAAATTGATCATACAGTTTTTATATCATTATTAAGATGATATATCAAACAATTTAATTAAATTTGTTAAATTTATATTTAGCATGAAATTATTAAAATGTTTACTTGTCAATATTTACTTATATATATATATATATATATGTAATATTATACATTTTTTGTTAATTATTATGTTTTGTCAATAATTGTATGTTGTGGTGTTTTAAAATACGATATTGAGAGATTTTGAGAGTTAAGAAACTCTTAAAATCCTAAGAAGTTTTTTAGTGTTTTAAATGATTTTTCTGGACAGAAGTCTAATTTAATCATGAGGAGAGAAGTATATAAGATTTTTTCTAACATTTGAGTCACATAAACTTATTCCTCAAATAACTTAGATAGATAAACTAAAGAGAAGAACTATGAAATTCAAACTCCTCTTTTCTTTTTTCTAGACTCGAGGGCATAGAAAATCATTGTTGATCATATGAGTCATGATATTCGAAGTGGTTGAAGTTGAGAATTGGTATTGGTGTAGAGCCTGGGACTGTTCAAAACTCGTCTCATCTCTTTTTCTTCCTCAATTTACTCTGATCTTGAAGTAAGGAAATCATGAATAAGAATTAAAATCCTATATTAGATAGAGATAGAAATTTTGAGTATCATATAAATAACAATGACTTACATATATAGTATCTTAAGATTTTGAATTTAAAAAGTAATATAAAAAATAATTATATAATTAAATATTTTAGGTTAAATGTAATTTCGAACTCACTTTATATAGTTGATTTATAGAACATTTATAATATTTTACTTCTCTGTATTCCTAATTAATAATACTTTCGCGAATGATTAAGTTATATTTCACCAGCTATTATAATGAATCCTTCACTTTTAGTTTCATGGAGAGAGTATCGAAAGAAACAAGGATGAATATACCAACTTACCAAGGACCAGCATGAGTTTCAACTATTCCATACTCATGTTTTTAAAACAATATACATACACCTCAATTTTACATGAAATTGTAATTTTATAATTTAGTATACTATTAATTATGAATGCAAAAGGTTTATTTACTTTTATCCCTCACTCTCTAAATTTTTTAGACCCGTACGTACGTGACCAGAAGTAAGCTAGCGTAGTATCCTTCTATGCATTAATATGTTAATTATTACTATCCACTAAAGTCAGACTAATACAAAGAGACTTAAATATTTTACATGAAGTTATAAATTCAAATAAAAAAGGTATAACCTACCTACGTATATTATTTGAATCAATTATATTCAACATATTCAAATACTTTATGGCCAATACTTTTTTCCTACAGACAAAATTAGTTAGTGGTATTTTAATAATGTCATAATATGATTGTAGAAAGCGTTGCCTTTAGTTAGGGATCCCTTTAAGTCCACTAGGGTTACTTTTAATTTCTTCGTCAAGACGAAGGATGCTGTTACATGCAATGAATGCGTGGTTTTCGGTGAATTAATTCCCCTGGGATCTTTAATTATTAATGGAGAATGTTAACTAATATTCTTAACATAGTTGTTAAAAAATTAAAAGATATGTTATCAATATTTTTAAGACGCACATTAACAATATTTTTTACTTATAAAACAAAGACCGACCGAACTTGGTGCAATGCATTTGTGTCTATATTCGTCTATTGATTTCAAAGATTCTTCCTTGACCAAAAGTAAAAATCAATGAATAGATGTTATTCATTTCAAAATTGATTTTGGGCACAAGACTCAAACTTATATCATCATTAGTTTAATAGGAACAATCTTGCACCAGTTAATTTATGTACTTTGATAATTTCTTGAGAGTTTTCAGTGTTATATTTTTATATTTTCAATTTATTAATAATACGAATTGATAGATTATATATAGGTCACGGATGGACCTACGTACGTATAGGCAATATTTAGATTTAAATGTCTAAGCTCCTTTATTTGTAGTTTGCATCTCTTTTTATCATGTGTTAAATTTTTTTCCTTCTAATTTTTTTAATTTATTTTAGGGTTCCGTCCCACTAGTTCTAGATGTACAGAATGATATTTTCGTTAACTAGTCAATCGCCATGTTTGTGACCACAAGCTGCTAGTGCTTGATAAATGGATTCTAATTCGAGCAAAACAACTTCGAGTTCGACATGTTCTGGAATGAACTGGATCAAATTCACAATGACATTATGGGTTCGTTTCGTAACAAATGATTCAAGGTTCATGATATATATACCTCCCTTTTTCTATAAGTACACCTCCTTTTAAAAAAAATAATTAAAATTTTAAAATATTCTTAATTTTTTGTTTTAAATTTTTTAATTTTACATCCACAACATTTAATTTAGTATTTTTTTCTCACACATCTTTTCTCCTTTTTTCAATTTTTACATGCAGTCTCTTATTTTTCCTTCACCCCACCTATTTTGGTAACATGTGAAAATTGAAAGAGAAAAAAAAAGTATGTGAATAAGAAGAAGAAAGTAGAAAATTGAAAGTTGAAAGTAAAATTAAATTTTAAAAAAAAAAAGTATAAAATTTTATAAATTTTTTAAAAAAGGAGGTGTACTTATAACAAAAAGGAGGTGTATATATCATGAGCCATGATTCAAAGTAATAATGGGCTCACACAGCACAGACGATGGATTTGGACTTCGTAATAGCCTAAGACGACCCATAAATTATCCAACTTTTTCAGGCCCACCATATGGACACCCTCTTTTTATTTTATCTTCACACGGCTGCACAACATAATGAAAATTGTATCGAAAACACAAAAAGAAAATAACAAATACAATGTTATGAGACAATAATCATTAGAAACGCAAAAGCTCACATAGAAAAGATGATGAAAGACGATAAAAGAAATATACGTAATTATAGAATAAAATTAATGCATTACTTCAAATTGATTGGTTAGAAATTGTAAATATTCAGCCATTACCAATCTAGAAATCGAATCTATTCAATATTTAATATAAATAAAATTTAATTATCACACAGTAATCGCCTAAAGGTTTTTACAATAAAAAAAAAATGAAAATTTGTAACTAAAATAATTGTTAACTTATTATATATAATATTTTATATTGATAACAATACAACAAATATTTACATTATTAATGTATTTTAATTAAATTCACAAAAACAAGGTTAGTCTCTTGTTGAACCACACAAAGTCACAACTATTCAATGATCGAGATATAAAATGATTATTGGAATTTTCAGGACTAAAGTAACTAAATAAGTGACTTTTTTTTTTTTTCATTCGCTAGTGCTTCTAAACATAATTGATGGATCATGGTATTCCTTTTCCTTCTCGCATTGCTATTCGAAATCTATGGCCCAAATCTTTAGCCCACGAGACCCACTCATTCTCATCCTTCATCTCAGTCTCACAGGACCCAATTCAAAGCAAGCTTCAAAATCTCTTTATTTCCTTTATATTGAGCATGGTGATTTAGTAAAGCTAGAACTTTTGTGCTGAGTAAAATTTGGGGCTGCAACAAGTTGAAGCCTCTACCAGTCTTACTTGCCTTTGTTTCCTGTCGCTGGTAACTCACTTTTTCTTTCCGTCGCACGTTCTTTATTTGCTTGGGGTTTAAATAGTGTTGGATTGTGTTTAATACTCGTTTCATTTTTCACATCGTTGTGTAAATTGACCTGGACCCAATCCTAGTGAAAATGTTGCTAATATATCATGGTTGGTTCTCTCAAATTAAGTTGCTCAGGATGTGTTTGACAGAATGTCTCCCTTACCTTTCTGGTTTAGTTGGAACACTTTGTCTAATTTCACTCTCCACATTGCTTCTGCTGTTAATAATTGGTCAAAAAGCATCAAATATATGGACGAAAATATGAAAGGAGTTTGCTGATGCGAAAAAGTTTTTTTTTTTTTTTTTAAAAAGTCTACAAAATAAAAAATATAATATAATCAAATTATATTAAAAAAATAATTATATATATATATAGAGAGAGAGAGGGGATTCACTTATTTCAAAAGTAAACTTATTTCATTCAATAATTTATGTTTTACATAAATTTCAACGATCTAATTGTATTAAAGATCTCACATCAATTACGAATAAGGTCACAATAATATATATAAATGGGTAACAATTCTTATCTTCTAAGTTAATTTTGTAAGATTGAGTTATATTATTAACATACTTTCTTAAAATGTTATCGGAGCATATCATAATTTATATTCTAGCAATTTTTTAGTGGGCTTGTCAAGCCACCCCCTATTAGAGTTATCAAACCACTCGCAGATGTCCAATCCTACAAACTTGACATGTGAGATGTCTAGTCCTCGGTGTGAAGGGTGCTGTTGAAGATCTCACATCAATTAAGAATAAGACTATAATAGTATATATAAATGGAGAGCAATCCTCTTTCACACTACAAGCCACTTTCTTAAGAAATTGTCAAATTAAAAGTTTTTAATACATAGATAAGTTTGAAAAGTTTTAAAATTATTTAATATTTAAATTATTAAAATTTAATTTAGAACATGAATTATTAAATAAAATAAGTGAATCCCTTCTCTCTATGTATAATATCATACGGGATATTTTTTGAGGGCTAGTGGAAGAATTTTTTGGAGTATAGAGACAAATTGCCTTACATCAGAAACGTGATTAAGTTCCATGGAAGAAGAGCAACAATACTCTGGAAGTGGTGAAGAATCACAGTCACGGGAACTGGATGGAGAAGATCAAAAGCTGCAGCATCACTACCAACTACCTGGAGCTGAAGAGAAACTTGTATTACAGTTCATGGATTCGATGCATAACTACCTATCTCTATTTGATGAAGTGTCCTCTGCACTTCGACAGGTAAAAGCAAAACCCTTTCAAATTTCAGTACGAGAAATCGGTAGCACCTTTCAAAATTTCCAGTTTACCATATAGATTTAAATTTAATTTTCTGATCTGTTCATTGTGAATTGTGATTGGGAACTTGTTGCATAATAGCTACGAGTACTGGCACTGTAGTTGACCCTGTAATTCGGCAACTAAAAGTATTGCTTTGATATAGTATGAGTTCCGTCTTTTGGTTAACCATTTTTAATCTATCAGCAGGGATGGTTTGACCTAGCGAGTGCCCGACATTCCATGGGTGCTTCTCGCATTAATAGTTCTTTATTGGACCTGAAATTCCATCCAGCTGCTACAACATTGAAGATAACCAACTGTGATGGTAAAACTTGAGATTTATACTAAAGAACATGGTTGATACTGCTCGATCCTACCGTGTCCTTTTCTCATCCCTGGTGTGCTAGCGTGCTATACTTGCATTTCTATGAGGCCTTTATGTAACATGTTCTTTATATCAATTTAGATGGAATATCTGTTTTAATATATGAACTATTGCACTTGACTCAATAGGTACACAGCCACACTTCATGTTGCGTAAATGGGTATCCTCTGAACATGAGAGTACTCAGTTAGAAGATGAGCATGTGCAGCTTCAAGATATTAGTGTGAAATCTTCTGGTATGATTTTCTTCCCCCTATGCATCAACAATGGTTTGTACTAAGCATATTGCAATATCTTTTTATTTAGACATTAGCATACTATAATTTAAACTGGATATTAGAGTAAATCCCAAAATTAAACATACACATCAGAACAAACTCTAGTTCATTTGTTATTTGATTCTGCTGCTATATGATTTAAGTTGCACGTTAGCTGTTTCTCATTTTGTAATTTTGTTATATGTTTGGTTATACGAACTAAGGTGACCATGTCAAAGAACTTTTCAGGACTTGCAGATAATGATGAAGTAAGTATTCTACGAGTGTCTTCACTTCCACTCATTAGCATATATTAAGCATAACAAGTAGAAATGAATTGGATCTCTAATCTAGTTGCTATCAATGGAGCTACTGAATAAATTTTGTTAGTGCTTCTAATAGTTTCAAAAGGAGCGATCCAAGTCCTTGTCAGTTTTTGGAGTTTTAATTTCCCCAAAACTTCGAGCCTCCCAGCTGTCATTTGAGAGAGGTGGAAAACAGAACTCAAGATCTTAATTCCCCTTACTTTCTTTGTACGTAATCATTTGTTTATATCACATATTATCGTTGAAATTCTTTGCAGCACTAGAGACACTAATAGAAATAGCTAATATGCGATCGTCATTGTTATATTCTTTTCACCAACTTCAAAAGGCGGAAGATACCAAAGAATGATAAAGTACCGGCTCCTTCAGGTATAGTTATATAACCTTTGCTCTCTCTCCCATTTTTTGGCTGCACAAACATAGAATGATATTGGGGATTTATTTCTTTCAGTTGCATATCAAGACTATGGTATTGTATTTGTATTGACATTTGACACGTCAGATATTATTCAACATGTATCATGAACAATGATGAAAACAAATGTGACACATACTTAGATAAAATTTTACTTTAATTCCCTGCGGCATAATGCGTTTTATTATAGATTTTACTCCCTTTTTATTTGACATTCAGACCCCTTTGTTTAAAATCGAACAAAATTAGTGTTTTCTATAGGAACTAGGTGTGCCGTTATATAACGCCAGTCACCGGGTGTCTATTTTCGAATGTGATATTTTTAATACCTGAAGATCAAAATGTATTCACCAAAATGTTAATATCTTGATTATCATGGGGGTGTTAGTGTCAAAATAAATTACTGCGGTTGACAAACTGTCAATATCATTAGGGGTGACATAATTTTCCTATGTAAAATTCTCTTAATTGGGGTCAAAAGCTTTTATCTTCCCCCTCACCTAATGGTGGGAGGAGAGACAGGGAGAAAGTAAAAACAATCGGTTTAGAATATAGTTAGTTATTGATTTAGTAACGATTTAACGAGGAATTCGTGAAGATGAGTTTTGATTTTGTTTTTTATCCACTTGCTGATTAATTGCATATACAGGCTGCTGGAAATGCTTAGCATGTGGACAATCTGATTGTAGTGTTGGGGATCCAGCATTCAAAGTTTCTGGTGTTTAATTTATAGATGTATCAGAAGACAGTGAACAGTTCCCTGATTTTGCTTATTTCATTAATATATTGGTTATGATTAAATGAACGCTATAGTGAGAGGGGGACGGGTTTTACCCAACACGCGCAAACAGTTTTGGTCATGATGGAGGGTCCGGCACAACCCTTAATGTCATCATTGAAAAAAAAAAAAGGATAATCAAAATTAAAAGCTAGACTATGGTCACATAATCATTTAAAACCACAATAGTGAAAATTCTCGCTTGATATTTTTTCTATAAAGAGTTGGATTACAAGTTAAAATGCACTATAGCTATCAAAATAAGGTTATCATAACCAAAAGAGTCATTGACTCGATTAAAGTGGTGAGCTGATAGATCAATTGTCAAACTAGTGAACTGCATGAGTTGATATATGTTAAATTTATGAATTTTTTACTAGAACTATAAAATATATCATGTACACAATACAGGCTATAAAAATGCTTTGTATACACGTGTATTTTAATCTTAAATTTTAAATTGATATACATTTCAAAGGATTACACATTGAAGGATAAATGTTCATTTCATATACTAACTGTTTGAATAATAAGTATATAATTCATTAATTTCTTTTTGACACTATTTAACCTGATTTTATTTGGAAAAAGGTTGGGTATGTAATCATATTTTGATCGATATTTATTAAAGGATACTTGGTATCAAATATAAAATTTCTCTTGTAGGATTCTCTCAACCCTTAGTTCGATAAGTAATGTCCTGGGTTAGGCTGGACAATACTAAACTTTAGTTAACTATTAAGTGAATAATGGTATTTAATTTATGAATCTCTATTATGACATTAACACTTTGTCCGATAGTCATGAGAATGTCATTTTCTATTTACAATTTTTGTAACCAAAAAAATAAGAATGAATAGAATCAAAATGTATTAGGGGAAAAGGTTGAGAAAAATGTGCTAATTAAAATATTATCTTCTTTCTTTATTTAAGAAAAAAATGATTTAGCATATTAAATAAATTAGATAAATGTATTAATCTTTACTAATCTCATAATATTCTTTATAAATTGTCTTTATTATAAATATCTAAATAAGTTGTACAATTAGAAGGTTATACTTTTTTTTTAATGTCATTAAATAAAAAAAAAGTAGTTAAAAATTATTTATATCATATAATAAAAAAGTGTGTTTTTTTATTGCTTACACCATATAATTGAGGGAATGAGGCACAATGATGTAATTGTCTAAACAAAAAAAAATATTCTTTGCACAATTTCAATATGACAAAAGAAAAACATGCATATAATTTTATTTGATAAGAGGGACAAGTTGATGGAAAATATTTAATCTTAAAATAAATGTTCAACATTCACATCTTATCTTGTTTTAATGGTTGTATAAAAAACATATTTAGATTGTTTATAAAACTAAAAAATTGAAAATGAAAAGCACTTTTTCACAATTCTAATTCTATTTTTGTATTGTCTAAGTGTAAACAAAATAAACTTATACTAAAGTTATATAACCATCTTTCTAAGATATAGTAAATGAGCCTTATCCTTAACCTTCTTTTAAGTGAAAAAAATTTGAAGTATGTAAAATATTTGAATCAAATAATTTGTATTTAAGTTTGTCAGTTGAAAAGTACTCATATTGAGCTTAGGGAGACTTTGGTTAAATAATTTTTTTTATTTATATTTGTTAGTGAAGTTTTTGGTTAAATATTAAGGATTAGACGTAATTTTAGGTTAAAGACAAACCATTATAAACTTAGTGCATTCTTATTTCCTTTCTCATATCTTGTTTAAGTATTTTACAAGTAGTTAAATAATTTATCTTTTAACTTGTATTTATAAAGAAACTTTGTGTTACATTGACTTATCAAACACTTTAATGTTTAGTTTTACATGAGATAAAAATACTCTTTTAAGTAAATATATTTATGAAAAATGTTTAAAACACGATAAAATACTCGCATTTAACCCTTTGTGTTATTTTGTATTCTATAACTCTTTCAAATTAAATGTTAGTGATAGCTTGAATCCCACGTAGCTATATTTAGTGGTATTATTATGAATGATATTGGGAATTGGATCTTTGGGATCGATGGTTGATTGGTTGCTATTCTACTAATGATATTATGGTGTTGTAACTAGCTTATTGCCAATAAGAGGGGCTTTCATGGTCCTTTGCCCTTCATGTATGCAAGTTTGATTTTTCTGAATTTTGCACAATAATTTGTAGTCATTTCATCGGCTTGTTTCACTTTTATGGATATTTTGGCTGTTTGCAAATGTGTAACATACTTCTCTAGTTAATTTATTTTTTCAAAAATCATATTGCGGTTGAGGGTTTGGAATGACTTTGTAGATTTGAGAAAAAAATAAAAAATAAATTTAGAGTGTTTCTAACTAATGATTTTAACAAAGTTTTTCTATTATTTCTTTTAATAATATTTTACACTTCTTTATACTATCACACCACATTTCTTACTTAAATAATTCAATCAATTTTTTTAGTTATCAAGAATCTCACTAAATTTTTTTAAATGAACTCCACAATATATCTATATTTTTTTTTATATATTTGGTGAAAAGAAATTGTTCCAGTAAGGGGATAACAGCCGGAGAACTCTTAGTGATGTGAACCCTAAGAGAACCTAGCCACCGTCCAGACCTAGAACATTCAAGAATGAGAATAACCTACTTTTCACCAGTTCCTTTTTTCCTTATTTTTATGGGTCCCTGTTTACAGTCGAATCAAGTTTTATGGGCTCTTTTTATTTATTGATAAAATATGATAAAAAAAATAACAATTTATATAACATAAACATACTTTAATGATTGAGAGGCCTTTTGGGTAATGACCAAAAGAAAAACCGTGAGGGCTAAGACCCAAAGTGAACAATATCTCATCATCATTGTAGAGTATGTTTATGTAATAACCTTATAAAACAACCCTCATAAAATATCATCTCAGACAAATACCATAAAATAACCTCATCAGTGGTATCAGAGCCGCATGTTAGATTCGGTGACAACCAATAACCCCATAACCCCTCATAACTCATAACATATAATGTGATATATAAAGATAGATTTCGCTGCATGAAAGGTTAGGTCCCTTGTTTGAGAGGAGGATTGTTGGGATACAAACAAGTCCCATATCGATAAAATATGATAAAAAAAATAACAACTTATATAACATAAACATACTTCAATGATTGAGAGGTCTTTTGGGTAATGACCAAAAGTAAAACCGTGAGGGCTAAGGCCCAAAGCGGACAATATCTCATCATTGTGGAGTATGTTTGTGTAATAACCTTATAAAAATAACTCATAAAATATCCCCTCAAACAAATACCATAAAAAATAACCTCATCTTTGGTATCTAGAGCTAAGGTTACGATCTTGGAGATGGAAGCAGAAACAAATTTTTCACAAATTTCCCCACCTATTTTTGATGGAAAAAGTTATGATCTTTGAGCGGTGAGAATGGAGGCATACCTAGAAGGTTTAGATCTCTGAGAAGCCGTAGAAGAAGATTATGATGTTCCCGCGTTGCCGTCATCCTACCGTAGCCCAAATGAAAATTCACAAAGAAAAGAAAATCAAGAAGGCAAAGGCAAAAAGTTGTCTCTTTGCCTGTGTTTCACAAAATGTTTTCTCCAGGATTATGACTCTCAAATCGGCAAAAACAATTTGGGATTATCTAAAGGAAGAATATGCTGAAGATGAAAGGATTCAAAGCATGCAAGTATTAAATTATGAGAGAATTTGAAATACAAAGAATGAAGGAGACTGAGACAATCAAACAATACTCAGACAAATTGTTTGGCATTGCTAATAAGATACGATTACTAGGAACACAATTTCTTGATTCTAGAATTGTTGAAAAAATTCTAGTAACTATACCTGAAAGATATGAAGCTTCAATAGCGGCTTTGGAGAACACAAAGGATCTGAGTAAGATCACTTTGGCAGAGGTGTTATATGCATTGCAAGCATCAGAATAAAGGAGGCTTATGAGAGAAGAAGGATCTATGGAGGGTGTATATTTAGCCAAATGGAAGAACAAAAATAGTGGCAAAAACAAGAAGAAGGAATTGTTTCAAGAGAACAGTCAATATAATAACACTCAAATTTTTCCACCATGTCCTTATTGCAAAAAGACTAATCATCCACAACAGAGATGTTCGTGGAGACCTGATGTAAAATGTGACAATTGCGAAAAATTAGGACACCTAAAACATGTATGCAAATCTCATGAGCAACAAGAAGAAGCCAACATTGTTGAAGATCAACAAGAAGAGGAAGAAGAAGAACTACTTTCAATGTCATGCTTTATGACCAAAAAACCCTCAAAAGCTTGGATTATTGATAGTGGTTGTACAAATCATATGACATATGATCGAGAACTCTTCAAAGAACTCAACAAAACTGATATCTCTAAAGTTCAAATGGGGAATGGAGCACACCTTGCAGTAAAAGGCAAAGGAACACTTGCTATTAAGAGTCATTCAGGTTTTAAATTAATATCTGATGTTTTATACGTTCCTGATATTAACCAAAATTTGTTGAGTGTTTCTCAATTATTAGGAAAAGGCTATAAAGTGTTATTTGAAGATAAAAATTGTGTGATTAAAGATATACACAACAAAGAAGTGTTCAATGTTCATATGAAAGGCAAAAGTTTTGCTTTAAATTTGGAGAAGGAGGAGCCAATTATAAATGAAGATACAAGTTTCGTCTCAACACTCAAAATGGAAAACAACATGAAACACTCAGCTTCATCTCTCATCAACTACTCAGCCTGACCCGCTGACAACAACACCTCATCCTCCAACTGAGGAAATACCAACTCTCTTCGAGCACAATCTATAAGGATGTGATGGGCAGAT